TGTGTGTGTGTGTGTGTGTGTGTGTGTGTGTGTGTGTGTCTGTGTGTGTGTGTGTGTGTGTGTGTCTGTGTGTGTGTGTGTGGCACAAGCCTCTGCACATACAAGGGCCAGAAGAAGTTGGGTGTCCTCTACCCCTTAGCCTTTAGTCCAGACTCTCACTGGGTCTGGAGCTGAGGTGACAACAAGCTCTCCCAAGCTGCCGGCCTCTGCTCCCACAGTGCTGGAGTTCCAGGCACGAATGTGGCCATGGCCAGTGTTTCACATGGATGCTAGGGTCCCTGTGCTCAAGCACGGCCACGCCACCCACTGAGCCACCTCTCCGGTCCGTGTGTCTCTTCAATCTATAGGTTCCTAACAGATACGTCACTTACAGCTGGCTGCCTCTACTGCAGAATGGGCCCTCCCCTTCTCTCTGGAAGTACAGTTAAAGGCTTGGGGTTTGTAGCAAAGGCAGAACAATTCCAGCCAGGTGCATATTGGAACAGTCAAGATGCTGTCGTAGTCTTGTGCCTAATAGAGGAATGGGCAGGGGAGCGCCACACACTTGCATTTGCTGCCTTTTACCAAAAGCTAGGAAGTCCCTGGAAACTATTGACTAAGAATTGATGTTTTCCTCTGTCTGTCCTTGACCTTGTTTTTGCTGATACATGAGTCTGGGTCTGTGGACTTGGAGTAGCACTTACCATGTGATAACACCAGGATTACATCTCCTTTCACAAACTCCAGGTCTTCCGGCTGAGTACCCTCATAACTGAAGATTGCTACCACTTGGCTTCCTTCCTTAGGCGGAGGCTCTGCTGTCCGGGTATGGGCATCCGAGTTTTCACTTCCCTTGAGTTCATCTACCAAACCTTGATCACCCTGAAATAGTAAGGGGACTATTAAGTTTGCTCATTTTGGGGCCAGTGAATATTGAAAACCACTAATGGAAGCAGTTGATGCTCAGTACTTACCATAGGTCTAAAACATTTTAGAAATACTAAATGACTGAGCAAATGAAACTGAAAGGTATGCAGAACCCTATGTAGGCCGAAGTTGCCTTACTTGAATCTTATAATAGTCCCAGGGTAGTGTAGATATTGTTCTTTCTTTCATATTGGGAGATAACTTGAGCCACAAGTAAATGGCAGTCTGTGGTATAAGTTCATCTAGTTTATGGTGTGTGTGTGTGTGTGTGTGTGTGTGTGTGTGTGTGTGTGTGTGTGTGTCTGTCTGTCTGTCTGTCTGTCTGTCTGTGAGCCATGATGTGTATGTGGAGATCAAAGGACAACTTGGACAAGTCAGTTCTCTCTACCATGTGGGTCCTGGGAGTTGAGCCATCCTGCAGTCCCTAAATTTCTTGGCATTGAATTGGTCCTCTTTCCCTAGCATAGACACTGAGGATCTTGTTAGAAATTTGGCTTTTGCACTCCATCTCAAACCTACTAAGCCGGCCTTCCTAAGACCTAGGTAATTCTCATCCTCTCTAAAGCTTCAGAACCATGATTTTTAAAACATTTCTGAGGCTGGGTCTCACTGGGTAGCACAGGGCTGCCTGGACGTCATCTTCTTTCTTCAGCCTCCTGAGTGCTGAGCTTAGATGTGTGGTACCATTCCTGGCTGCACGTCCTCCGTAAGACAGTGCAGTGAGGTGGGAATAGCCCCACGGAGTCTGCAGATCTAGTATTTTTGTTTGTTTGGTTGGTTTGGTTTGGTTTGGTTTTTTGTTTTGTTTTGTTCGAGACAGGGTTTCTCTGTGTAGCTTTGGAGCCTATCGTGGAACTCACTCTGTAGCCCAGGCTGGCCATCGAACTCACAGAGATCCACTGGCCTCTGCCTCCCGGGTGCTGGGATTAAAAGGGGTGCGCCACCACTGCTCGGCTGTTTTTTGTTTTTTATGTGTTTTGCTGGCATGCAGGATGTATGTCTGTGTGCCACATGCATGCCTAGTGCCCATGGAGACCAGAAGAGGGCAATAGATTTCCTGGAACTGGAATAACAGATGGTAGTGAGCTGCCACGTGGGTACTGGAAATGGAGCCGAGGTCCTCTGGAAGGGCAGTGCTATTCACCGCGGAGCCATCTCTATAACCCAATCCTAGGTTTTTATGCCAGCTTCCGTTTACTAGCTGTGGGTCCCTGAGTAGCAGTGTAGCCTCTCTGGACCTCTTTCCACACCTGATGTGGAAGCTGGAGAATGAAATGAGGAGGTGTGGCATCGTAACAGTCGGCCCTGACTGAATACTTACCCTGTAGGAGTACTGTTCTGAGGATGTACAAGTACTCGAATTCGGCTGGTGATACATGTTGCACCGAGAATACACAGTAAATGGCAGTTTGCTTTGCTTTTCCTGATTAGTGGGACAGCCTCCACAGACAGCAGTGGCCGAGAACACTAGCAATGATGAGCCTGGATGGAGTTCTAAAAAGACTTACGTTGGGAGTTTGGGGGAGATCTGTGCATATTGCTGCAAATAGATTGGCCTCATTGGAAAAAGTAATACTTTCTAAGAACACTTTAAGTGAAATTATTCACGTTTAAAATAGAATCCTTTCTAGGCAAATATTCCCCAACAAAAAATTGAAATTACCAGTGCAGCATATACCATTTAGCAATCAAAAAGGAAGGTCACCCTCTGTGTGAAATCCACTCATCGGCTGGCAGATAGACTCGGAGTGTCCCTTGGGGACAGAATAAGAAGTGTCAATAAGAACTTCCCCCCAGAAACTAACGGGGGGGAGTTCAACTGTTCCGCCATCACTGTCACTTCTGGCCTCTAACTTTGCTCCTGACTCCTGGGGATCTCACTTTCAAGTCAGGTGACTCCTGTCTAGACTTCACGGCTAGTAGGACAGCTTGGCCTTGTCTTGTCACTACAGCATGGTGGATGAACACAGACGTGAAGCCGGGTACTCCACCCCTAAGCGGCTCTGGTCTCTAGGTCAGGTCCCTTGACCTTTCCTTGCTTTCCAAACATTGATATACCTACATGTATAGGAGCATTGGGGACTTTTAAGAACTCCTTCCCAGAGTGCACTCGGCACAGGCTATGACCGTGGGCAGGTGTCAGTAGATACCAAGTCTCAGGAAAAGGCTGCTATCTCCTTTGTGAAATAAATGCTCACTCTTTTCTGTCACCCTCAAATGTCCCTCACAGCGACCTAAGGTGAGGAGTATCTATGAGCTCCGCTTAGCCGTGACGTCACTCCTGTCCTTGCTGAAAGTGGTGGCCACGATCCTTGAGCCAGCCAAGCTGGTGGAGGCAGCTTGCACTTGCTGTCCGCTTGTGGGTCCACCCATATGAAACCCTCTTCCTGCTGTGACTGAGTGAGCCTGTGAGCCACACATCCTATCCCTGAGCCTGTTGCCTGGCCTGAAGGAGAGGTTGGACAAAGGCTGAGTCCAGTTGGTGGAAATGGCCTGAAGTGCCCTGGCTCCCGCCACTCACCACCGTGTGCTCACACCAAAGGGTCAGGCAGTAGTTTTTCACTTGGCCCCAGGCATCCTTCATGGTTTCTTCAGACAGGAGCAGAAGCTCGGAGCTGTCCCGAGGCCGGTAGCTGGTAGGGATGATGGGCAAAGAACAAGGCAGAGAGGATCAGCTCAGAAAGCACTCCAGAGCCAGCCCTCTGCCTCAGCACAAGACACCCCCCCCCCCCCTATTCTCCCCCTTCCCCCCCCCCCCCCCCCCCCCCCCCCCCCCCCCCCCCCCCCCCCCCCCCCCCCCGCCACACCCTCAGCTGCCGCCTTCACGAAGCTCACCTCAGTTGAGTGTGTTCTGGCAAGAGCATCAGTTTCTTAGCCACCATGTCCCGAAGCCGGCTGTAGGGAAGGCCAAGCTGAGTCTCCATGACCACTGTGTATTTGTAATGCACCTTGAGCATGTAGGGCATGGGCACACTGAGCTTCACTTCCTGATGAAGGAGAAACAGAGGACATCTTAGGGACCGAGAGCAGCATCCCGGATTACCAGCCTCCTGACACTTTGTGTGCAGCACCCAGGAGTGGCCCGGGGAACAGGAGAGGGGCCTGTAAACAACTGGCTTCCCCCTTCCCCAGAGGCCGTCAGAGGGCTCTGGTCCAGCTCACTGGCACAGTAGTTTCTACTGAGCTACGTGCTCAGCTGGGGGCTAGGATGACGTGTGCAGAGGTCCCTGTCCTGTAGAAGCAGTGTCAGGTTCCACCCTTTTCAGTGATACTCCACAATCCTAAGAGACATCCCCCATCCCAAGCCAGACCCATTCGTTTTCTTCCCTTGGAAACAGAAGGAAGAAATTACCTTGGGCTCTTCTTTTTGCTTGTGACCTAAATGGAAAAGGAAATGGTAAACAAATGCTCCTGGTGGTACCTGCCACCCACAGTGCCAGCTTCTTACCCTTTAACATCTAAGAATTCATTCAGAAAGAGCATGGAGACCGCAAATGTGAGCAAAGCCTGTCCCTGCCTCCGGGCAGCTACATATCGGTAGCTATCAGAGGACGGGTCTACAGGCCAGTTCAACCAGTAGGATCCAAGGGAGGGAGAAACCACAGGAGATGAGCCCGATCTCCAGGCAGAAACATCAGAACCATTACCATCTCATGGTCCTGTAGCTTTTGAGTATATATGTGGTTTAAAATGCATAATATATTAACACAGCAGGGTGTGGATAAGAGAAGCTATTTACCACCGAAGATGTAAGAGCCATTGATCACAAACCCAGCTGATTATTAGAATCACTTGGGAAGTTTGGCCTAGGAATCTGGTGGTTCAATCTCTCCAGTGTTGTGTCCTTTCATGAACCTCCAGACAGAAAAGGTAAGGACAAAAAAAGCTATGAAGGACAGCGTATGGGGCCACTGAAGTATTTACATGTGGAATAGGCGGTGTCCGAGGTGAGAAATGCACTCCTTAGGCAGAAGCTGTGCTTGGGTGACTCACAGGGGCAGAAAGGTACTGGTATGTTGTTTACATTTAAAATGTTTGTTTTAGTGTGTGTGCATGATGGGAGGGAACGTGCTCTGACATGCATAGAGGCCAGAGGACAACTTCTTAGTGGAGTTGATTCTCTACTTCCTGCTTTATGTAGGATCTGGTCACTGCAGTCATCCCCAGGTTTGTGCAGTCAGGGCCTCTAACTACGGAGCCATCTTGCTGGCCCACCACTGGTGTGTTTAAGTGAAAAGTATTGTAGTATTCATTGTACCCTACTTCCAACTTTTCTGTAGGTCTGCAATTTTTTTCAAGTAAATATGCAGAAGAGGAGCATAATCAGTTTGTCATGGACAGACAGCTCTGTCATCTCCATCAGAAACTGCTTAAACTCACCGGTAACAAAAAGTTGTTATGGCTTTCCCAGACAGTCCTACCCGGCTTAGGAGAGATCCTTCTGGAAAGATCTCCCATCCACACCTTCCAATGAGTGGTCCCCTGTTAATGCCCCAGAGCTCTGCAGAGAGCATGCAACTCAGTGGTTTGAAAAGAGCTGAGGTGAGAAAAGGCAGTCACCGCTGCCTCTCCTCCTGGACCTGGTTTCGGTCATTCGGTGACTGCTGTCATGACGGGCACACACTGCCCCCTCGTCTGCACTCATTTCTAAGGAGGCGGGGGCAGGGCACTGGCGTCACATTCCAGTGGGATGACCGTGCAGGCCAGACAGGGCTCCGAATAAATGTAGTCATAAACCAAGGGGCATGCTGGCTAAAGAAACCAGAATTTCCTGGATGGCTACAAAAGCAGCTATTCATCATGAAGCATCCCAGAGAGCTCCTTCTCCGGGGCCACCAACCTGGTGACAACTGGGATCTTGCTGGGGCGCTGGAACTAGGAGGGGGTGGAATATCGGATTCCGGGGAGGTGTCCTCCTGGAGGGAACAAGAGGAGACAGTCAAACGAAAGCATGAGGGCATCCTCGGAAAGAAGCTGGCTGTAAATGACTTCCTAAAAGTTGGGGTGATAACGACACAGGGAGATGATGAAGGAAAGGGGGGCTAACGTGTAGCAGCAATAAGAATCCTAATGGCCACCTACAGGGCCCTTTGCCTTCTTTCCGGCCATGACGAAAACCACCAACGTGGGGTGGCATTGCCATGCTTCCGTCTCAGCTGCAGAGTGTACTGAGAAAGGGAAAATTCCACTTCCCATCCGCACGGCGTTTGAAACTTCAAAGCGCCTCAGTTTCATGACTGACCTGGGAGGGCTCCACACACGTGCATCTCGTTGCACAGTGTGAAGAGACAGACCACAGGCTGTCCTCAGAGTGCCCTGTATGTAGCTAAGCATGGCAAGCTTCTGATCCTCCTGCCTCCGCTTTCCAAGTGTTAGGAGCACATGCCACTGTGCCTGGTTTATTCGGTGCTGAGGACTGAGCTCAGGGCCTTGTGCATGCCACGCAGACACTCTGCCAGCCGAGCTACATCCCCAGCCTTTATTTTATTTTAAATGGCATTGTACCAACCAACACGTTGACCTTTCTCCCTGGGAACACCTAGCTCGAAGGCTTAGGCTTTGCTTCCTAAGTCTCCCTGACCGGGAGAACTCCCAGGGTAGCGGGGTGGAGGAGAGGATCCGGTGGATTCCTAACAGTCCCCTCCGCTCGGCATGGCTGATCTTTCACTCTCATGTCCAGGTTCAGCTCTAGGCATCTGATACCTGCTCAAGTGGCCCAGAGCCAGTGAGTCTTCCTTCCATGACAGGGAGCCCACCCCCTTCACACTTTCTTCCCTCAAGAGAGTTGTGTGAAGGGTGAGAGGGGTGGGCTAGACCTTGGCACTGCATTACCTGGGGCTGCGACTGGGGATGAATCCTAAGCTCCACTGGCTCCAGGTAGTTGCAAGGGACAAGGCCCTTCTGCGGAGTCACATCCCAGAATCCAGAAGGGAAAACAAAGACTCATTAGTACCCACGACTCAGAACAGTCTGCAGCCACGCGGAGGGCCGGCACACAGACGACGGCCCGTGGCAGGTCTGCAAATCATGCCGCAGGTACCGTCCCACGGAAAAGCTCTGCCCTTTGCTGCTGGGACCCTTAGCACCTCCCCCTGACCCTCCACATACCTGTCCATTGAACATGACCGTGGCCCAGTTGTCACTGCCCTTCTTCAAGACGAAGACGATGTTCCCTGGCATGACCTGGAGCTCTTCTGGTGTCTCAGGCACAAAGCCAAACAACACTCGATGGGCCTCGCCTTCCAGAGCCCTGAGGGGTACACGGAAGACCCAGCCCATCGTTCAGCTTGGACCGCATCGCATCCCCTTACTGCAGGAGAAGCACTTTGAGGCCAGAGACTTAGCTCAGCACTCACTCTAACTCCACATCTTACTGGGTATGAGAGCAGCGCAGGGTGCTGGCCTTGCCCGGGACCCCGAGAGGACTAGGTGAGAAAGTGCATGTGAGTGTGTTCCATAACCACACAGGAGTTCCCCTTATCCTCAGGGAACACGATCCAGGAACCCAAGAGGTGGGTGAACCCGTAGGTGGCAGCCAACCCTTGGGCGTCCTACGCTTCTCCTATCCCCACATATGCAAAGGTGACGTCTTTCACTTCTGAACTGAGGGCACATATAAAAGCGGTTGTAACTTTTACAGTCTGGGGTGTGCCAGCAGAATTAGTACAAATCCCTTTCCCTTAACACTTAATCAACAGAACACTCTGGGTACAACCCCCCCCCCCCAGTACTCATCCCTGTTGCTGGAGGGCTTCTCTCCAGCTTCCCCAAGCCCCGCAGTCCCACAATTCACATATAAAATAATCACTCAGATGCTTATATTACTTATAAACTGTA